ACTTATGTAGCAGGAAATTCATGATGGCTAGTTGTGTCCGCAAAAACCGAGAAATTTGTGGTGCGCCTGATGATCCTTGTCAGAAATAGCACAATATTAATTATTTGGGATCTTTTACTGGTACTCCTGATGAAAACATATGTAGCACAAAGTTCGTGATGGCTAGAGTTGTCTCCGCAAAAACTGAGAAATGTGCGGTGCGTCTGATTATCCTTTTGCAGAAAGTGCACAGTATGAATGATTTTGGAGCTCTGTGCTGGTACTCCTGATGAACGCGGTGTTACATATGAAGCAAAACATTCGTGATGGCTAGCTGTCTCCGCAAAAACTGAGAAATGCGTGGTGCACCTGATTATCCTTCGCAGAAAAGGCACAATATGACTGATTTGGGATCTCTGTTCTGGTACTCCTGATGAACATATATGTAGCAGAAAATTCGTGATCGTTTGCTGTCTCCGCAAAAACTGAGAAATATGTGGTTCGCCTGATGATCCTTGGCAGAAAGTGCACAATAGGAATGATTTTGGACCTCTGTTCTGGTACTCCTGATGAACACATGTGCATTGGGAAATTCGTCTAGCTGTCTGCATACTGAGAAATGTGTGGTGCGCCTGTTGATCCTTGGCAGAAAGAGCACAATATGAATTATTTGGGATCGCTGTGCTGGTACTCGTGATGAAAACATATGTCGTACGAAGTTCGTGATGGCTGGAGCTGTCTCTGAAAAAACTGAGAAATGTGCCGTGCGCCTGATGATCCTTCGCAGAAAGCGCACAGTGTGAATGATTTGGGAGCTCTGTGCTGGCACTCGTGATGAACTCGGTGTTACATATGCAGCAGAAAATTCGTGATAGCTAGCTGTCTCCGAAAAAACTGAGAAATGCGTGGTACACCTGACTATCCTTGGCAAAAAGCATACAATATGAATGATTTTGGATCTCTCTGCTTGTACTCCTGAGGAACAAATGTAGTACGAAATCCGTGATGGCTAGAGCTGTCTCCGCAAATACTGAGAAGCGTGTAGCGCGCCTGATGAATCTTGACATAAATTGGACATTATGAAGGATTTGGGATCTCTTTGCTGGTACTCCTGGTGAACAGGTAAGTAACAGGTAAACGTGATGGCTAGCTGTCTCCGCAAAAACTGAGAAATGTGTGGTGCACCTGATGATCCTTGGCAGAAAGTACACAATATGAATGATTTGGGATCTCAGTCCTGGTACTCCTGATGAACACATATGTAGTAATATATTCGTGATGCTGTCTACACAAAAAACTGAGTAATGGGTGGTGTGCCTGATGATCCTTGGCAGAAAGTGAACACTATGAATGGTTTGAGATCTCTGTGCTAGTACGCTTGTTGAAGAACATATATGTAGCAGAAAATTCTTGGTGGTTAGCTGTTTCCGCAAATACTGAGATATGTGTGGTTCGTCGGGGACCGTTGCACTCGTATAATGCCGCGTGGCTTAAACTGCATTATCGTGCTCTTGTTACGAGGTGCGATCAAAAAGTTCAAAAAGCAATATTGTTGCGTAAAAAGAGAGGGCGGCACGGTGGTGTGCGCACTGCAATCGAAGCCAGGGACCTTCTAGTGTCAATATGCTTAAGGGCGTCGTTCTGTGAACATTCTGATCACGAGCAGGCTATGCCGTAAAACAGTGAGTCGTGTGAGGTGTTTTGAGTGGCACTCGAGCTTCAAGCAAGGCAGAACATTGCTAAAAGACGAAGACAGGCAAGGTAACCTTCCACGACCTCTTTTCGTCTTCCAGTGGTATTCTGCCACTATCGAAGCACAGGCGTCGTTGAAGACACCTTGCACAATACACCGCTGTATCATACTAAATGTGTCCTTCCGTATTTTCCGATTTTGACGCAGAACTGATGTTTTTTCTCACTCTGGTATGCAGCCCATGCTGAAATTGTCATTGCGCTCGTGCACGTGGTCATAAACTCACGTGTAGCGCAGCTCCAAATTTTCACAATGACGCCATTTGGAGTAACGACACATGAGGGTCCCGGCCTTCAACAGTTGCGATCCCATCACCGAGCTGCTCTCTCTCCCCCTCTCTCTCTCTCTCTCTCTCTTTACGCTACAAAATGAGTCTCAGAACTTTTTCATCGCACCACGTACTGTAATCGGGACAAAGATTTCACTGTTACTGGCAGGAAATGTCAAGTCTGGGAGCAGCATTGATAAACAATGAACAGACCAAAATATGTCGGAAAACTATATATGCAGGCTCAGAGTTCATCATTTAGAACAAAATCACTGTTATTTGTTATACATGACGAAAACAGCTCAAACATGATACAGCTCTTCGTCTTCTACGTTTGAGCTGTTTTCATCCCGTAAAACCTTTACCAACTCGCCCTATTCCCTACCTTAGTACACGGTTATTTGATCTGCCGTCTATTTGCGAGAGCCCCGGGGCAGGAATTCTCAGCCTGCGATTTGACGAAACATGACGTCACGTGAAACCAATTCGTGCCTGCTAGATGATCGGACAATAATTTTTGTTATATCAATTTTTTGTAAGAACATGAAATCCTATCCACTTACCGACATATCCATACAACGTAGGGTTTTCGATGATAATCAGCAAGTTTCTAGTTGGAACCATATGTCTATTTTCACTAAATAAAAAGGTGATTAAAAGATACTTAATTAGTTGACTGATCGTTGTGATCAGCCCCATATACTATGTCCCCCTGGCGGTATAACTCACCTGCACGAACCGCATAAATGTAGCTTTTACGGATTGTTCTTTTTTTTTTTTTGTAAATTATTATTACTTTAAAAAAAAAACCTGTATGTATATCTCTTAAAATGCATTCATATATGCATGTCCTTCAAATTCCTTAAAACACTCACCTCTTCCCTCAAACAAGAAAGAGCTTCCCCATGAATTATCAAACACCCGTTCCTTTCTTATGACCTGTTTTTTATTACCTGTACATTGCTAAAGCTGATTTCTCTTGCATTCTTTCCCCTCACATTTTTCTTTCTGCTTCTTTTACTTTCTCTTCCGTTTGTCTCTCACCGGTATTTAGATATTTAAATGTCAGCTATGGAATTCAGGTCTTCCATTTTGTTTAAAATGTTTTATGTATAACTGCTTGTATACTTTCTGTGCCTACCATGCATCCTCCGTTTTAATTAACCTTTGTTCAAATTTCAGTGCACTAATTGCCCATCTGCTTTCAAAGGACGAAGAACCCGTGTCCGCCTGTACCCCCTCATTGTGTCTCTCCAGCGTTAACCTTCCCACGCTCCTAGTGCTAATCTACCCACGCTCCTTTGTCAAATTCCCAATCCTCATTGAACCTCTGACCTTAAGCACAGTCTCCCGTTACCAAAAGATAGATCAGGCACTATCAGTCCTTTCCATATCACCCTATACCACTTCATACTTAATACACTGGAACGGTACCTTGAGTTCATAATAGTTTAATTTCTTTTCCCTTTCCTAATTACATTTCTTTCGTGTTTCTTTAGATATTTTCTTCGCTCATTGAGTCGTACCTCCAGATATTTGTATTTTTCTAAATGATTTATTTCAATGTCTCGTTTTTTCAGGGGTTTTCTCATTTCGTAGTTATACAGCGTTCTTCCAGACTTGCCACTAGTAAGACTCAGGCCTATGATATCCCCTTCCTCTCCACATATCCCAGTTATTTCCTTCAATCTACTTCGGACACTGTCCAAAGCGCTTGTGGAGAAGCGGCCTGCGGAGCTTGGATCGAGTTTTGAGCGGGACATTATTTTCGCCTCACGTTTTCGAAGCAGACTTCTTACACTGAGCTCTGACAAGGAGGAAGTTCCTCGAACCCTTAAACGTTATGTGTGCCAGTTGAACAGGGTTCGTTTTATGGTGCGAGCGTTGTTCTAAAGTGGTGGTCAAAAATCTGACGCAGTGCACTCACGCAAGCGCGCTTCCGACCGCCGGCACACCACTGTGGTGAAGTTGACTATGGCCGACGACCGACTAAAAAAAAAAGAACAGCAACAAACGCTAGTGTTTGGGGCGTTTTTTGCTGGTGTAGCCATCTCGTTGAACTTGACGAAACAAAAAAAAAACAGTCCCAGCAAATTTATTTACACACAGACGGACATACTAGGATGGTAATCTTCCCGCCGATCATGGTCGGAAAATTAAGAGAGGAGACAATTGTGGTAAGTGTAACCAAATTTTAGTCACTTTTATCGTCCAAGAATTTTTAATTTCGTATTCCCTTAAATGCGCTGAAAACAATCCAAAACGACAAATTTCGGGAATTTTTTTTTAACTCTCCAGCCGTTCCTCGCAGCTCTCCGTCCGAGGAGCGGGAGTGGCAAGCGCGCAGCGCTGAGGAGAGTAGACGGAGGACTGCAGCGGCACAAGAACAGCAAAGGGCGAGGACCCCGACTATCACGCACGAGAGGCATGGGCGTAAGCGCCTTTCAGACATATCCTAAACCACTCGACTCGAAGTTGATCAGTTTTTAAACTAAAATGTATCCTCTATCTCTCTCCTAAAGCACAACTCCTACAACTATTCCACTAAAAGCAAATCTCCTAAAGCACATCTTTCAAAAAGGAAGCAGCTGCCGCTGTCAACGCAGCACACTTTGTGTGGTTGTTTGCAACATTTTTTTTTCTTCTTTTTGGGTGGTGTTCAATGGTAGATCTGTTGACTCCGTTGAGTCGGGAAGGTTTGTGGCCTAAATCAGGGAAGTTGTGTCTTCACCTTGATGACTCTGTAGGACCAGCATTGGTCGCATGCCAGGCGCAGGGTCCTTCCTGTGTCGAGTTTCTAGAGGCTGAGGTGGCACTGCTCACTCACTCGTCGGGTAGGAGGCAAGTTTTGCGCACCTCTGAGCAATCCGCGGCGTGCTTGACTCCGCAGGTGGCCTGAGGAGCGTGGGGCCCGGCGGCTGAGCAGCTGGCGGCCGGAGGCTGCGGCCTCCTGTGGCCATGGAAACAGGGGAGGCTTCCGCCGGGGAGCTGCAGGGCTTCTGCAGCCGCTTCTGCAGGGGCCTGTACCTGCTGTTCATGCTGGCGCTGTTCGGAGCCGGCGTGGCCGTCCTGGCACTTTGGTCTCCCACGCCGACGCAGGTCTTTCTGGCCGCCGTGCTCTTCGCCCTTGGGGGCTGCTGCGGCTTCGTCTTCGTCAGCTGGCCCAACGTGGTGCGTTCGACCCGCCTTTGCTGCTGCTGCATCTACGCCGGTTCGGTGGTGTTCTGCGCGGGCCTGCTGGGTGCGGGCTGCCTGCTGGCCGAGCGGTCTCCCCGCTACATCCGTGAGGACGGCCTCGTACTGCTCGGCCTGGGCTTGCTGGGGCTGCTTTTCGTGGCGCTGTATGCCTTGGCTGGACGCAAGGCGCCCGGCAGCGAAGAGGCACTCCCGCTGGACGTTCCTTTCCTGGGCCAGCTGTCCCGCTCCAGACTCAGCTCCAGTTCCGCCGTAGAGCTCTGCAAGACGCTGTTCTCCGAGAGTCGCGCCTTCGCCCCGCAGAGGCTCCAAGAAGACAAGTCCAAGTTGGTCGTGCTCTGCGTCCTCCAGCCTGACGCCGGTGGTCCCAGCGCCAAGACGGTCCACTTCGTCGACTCTCTGGACTCTGGAGACCCCGGTCGCTGCGCTTTGGAGCAGCGAGAGAACAGCGAGCTCGCCGCAGACGCGAGTCCCCAACTCCCCGAGGACGATGGGCCCGCCGAGATATCTGCTCTCGCGTCCGCCTGCCACGTCCAAGTACAAAGCCCACCGTCGCCTGCGTCGCGTCCAGAACAGGACCCGAGCCCCATTACCGGCAGCAAGTGGTCGGTGCCGCCCTGCTCTGACCTCTCGGCTCAACTGCCCGTCTGAGTACGAGCTCAACAGTGCACGAACGCCTTGCAACTCAAGAGGATACCGCGTGTCCTGGGCATGGGACACTTCCTCTGGTCCTCCACTGCTCAGACTCAGAAGCACACGCCAGACGCTGAACTTCTCATAACTTATTATTCCGTCGCGAAGTCGAAAACCGCTCCACATGAGCACGTGCAAGGATTACTAAGGGAGATACTGTCTACTTGGCTTTTGTCTATCTTCCGTTTTGTCAGATAGAGAAGTGCAACTTGTAAACTATAAACAGCGCCAGATGACGACGAATAAGTCCCAATGAGCGAGCATAGTGGTCTTTATCAACGTAACTATATTGGAAAAACAATCCAAGTCACCCGTATACACATACCCCCTCTACTCAAATTAACATTCACCTGTCAATAATAACAATTTGGGTTGTGTGGATATTTATACAGCGTGCAGTGGGTCAGCCATTTCAAAGTTGCGACGAGTCACTCGCTGTAGATGAGCAATTAAGCCAGTGCAGTACAGCCGCTAGCCTGGGGTCTATAACGTGCACCACGCAGTAGTGATACACGACCGCACGCCGGTACGATGCTCATCCAGATCGAAATGGGCAGGGGTGGGGATTGAGCACATGATCCCTGGGTTCTGCAGCGCGAGCTTTCGCTCCACGTGCACCGAGCTGATGTGAGCTTGCCCACTCGGCCACCGATCACCCCCATCACCTGTCATACGCCCTCGGGGATGCGAGTTTCCTGTCATATAGAGCAATCGAGGGAGTTCGTGCACATCTGCCTTCTTTACGCATATCGAGATTATAAGACTCAGAAATCTCCCTCATCTTTTCTCGGTGGTACCGGATCAGGATAGTCATATGCTTTTACGTGAAACGTTTTTTTTTTTTTTTTTTTTTTTCTCGTCAGGGGGAGAGGTAGAAATTTCTGAAGCTAAAAAGTGAAGCCGCCGATTAGCTCCATGCTGATTGGCTGAGCCAGGTGATGACGTCATACCCCTACTCGACGCTGTCCGGGTGATTCAGATATGACGTCACGCGCGAGGCCACGCTCACTCGACACTGCGTGGCTGGTGATTGCGCAATTACTCACGCGCCTCCGCTCGCCCGCCAGACGGTGGTTGGATGTCGTCGGATAACATCTGCGGCTATGGAGCTTTCTGGAAGAGTGCCAGGGCTTTAAAACCGGGGTTAACGCCAGTATACCCATTCCAGGAATTGTTATCGAGTGTACATGCCATGCGTTAATTAAGCCAGTCGCTAAATAACCGATTAAAATCGCCGACAGCGTAGACGTCAATCTTAGAGAAATCGGACTAAAACGACACGTTTCACGTGCAACATCATTGCCCGGCAATTCGCTATGCCTTTTTCGGGCTACTTTTTTTTTAATAATTAAATGCAAGACTATGTTATCACCTGAAATAAATAAGCCATGAGTGTAAGTAATCCCTCGGTTGTTCTGTATGACGGGGTACTAGCATTTGTAAGGGCATGGAACACAGCGGCATGGAAAAGGGGAGAAGTGTAAACGTATGAGTTGCACTGTTCTTTCACTAAACTTATGATGAGAATCAGCGTTCTGTGTTCGCTGCTTCGACTTCTTTGTAGTCGTCCAGCGCTGGTTCTTATATTACAAGATGCTATACTAGCTAGCCTATATTTCTATCAAGAAGAGAACAAGTCGCTCGTATCGACTACGCCGCCTCAAATCTAGAGGCGTAGTCCAGGATTCTGAGCTTCAATCAGTTATTTTGCCAGCAAAGCAGTACAATGACAACGAAACACAAACCAAAGAAAAAAAAACACAATTCAAATTTTTCTCATTTACTCAGGAACTCCTTGGAGAGAAGGAAATATCGCTGAACTTTTTCTCTACCCAGCGAGCGCGCAGAACAAAAGTTGTACAAGCGTGTTTTTTTGTTGTTTTTTTTTTTGGGTAGTCAGCAACTTTTTTGGAACAGCGTTCCCAGACTTTACTCGAAGTCGGCAACGGGTCGTTGTGGCTTGCGTCCAAATTTTTCCCAGTACTGTTCTTTCTTCGATCTATCTATAGGTACACACACGTGCCACTTGAAGCAGGGCGCTGTATACGCCCCGTATTTCGATCAATCTAGTTTTTGAGCAGTAAGACTGTCGAAATCGACGATTTCTTTAAGAGTAATCGCAAACCGCAAGAGTGAGCTCCAAGTGGCGACGAACTTGCTCAGAGAGACCTGTGCAGGCGTGTGCAAAACCGAGACATCAACTAGCGTCGGGAGACAGGATCGCCCATGGGCTCGCTCAATTCAGGACCTGCGAAGGCTCCTGGACGACGGACGCTGACGAGCCATTGCTCAACGGAACTGCCGACTATCCCCCCTAGGACGGCGTAGCACTCCACGCTCTTCCTTCTCAAAGTAGCCGCCACTCCTCCGTCATTTTCTACAAGCGGAGGTTGTACGTGAGCAATACCAACTTCTCCAAAACATATCACGGCGCTCATCTTGGATACTTCCTCCGCTCCCGGTGCCGCTCATACGGCAGCACCCTCCCTTTCGTTCACTCTGACCACTTTTCGCCAATAAAAGCATCGCTGCGTCGACTCACTAAGGTTTTTCTTCGCCCTGGAGTCGGTCATTATTGACAGCTGATTATTCGTCAGTCTTCAAATGGATAATATTCCGAGTTGTATCGTCTCTCCGAAGGAAATCTCTCGACGCGAAAGCCAAAGCCGCATTCGTCTATCGCACCTTGACATCATCCCATGTATGATATACTATATTGATAATACCCTTGTTTTAGGAGCACTTAAAAGGTTCATAAAACAGGCTTCAAGAATCGGCGAACCAGGCTTCGCACCCGGTTGTTTGGTGTAATTTGGCAACTTTGGGCCTACGTTGCCATACAAGTGCCAGATTTATGCTTCACTGTTGTTTCTTCGTTCATACCTGGCGTTTTTGGCTCAAGTCTCGCATTTTGGCAATTTTGTGGCGAGCCAAAATCATAAAAACACGTAAAAAAAAGTACTCTGGCACTAAATAACGCATTGGAACAAAACCGTATTAGGCCCAAATTAGGTTCCTAGGTTTATCAAACTTGTGCGAAGTTAGGCATATCTCTGGCGAGCTACCTGGGTATATGCATAGCCTCCTCTATACTGACAAAGCCTGGCAGATCGTCACGTGACGTGGCCGCCGAAAGTGAAAAGGTAAAGCGGGAGACAAGAGTCGTGTAATGGGGCGCCCCGCTGCGGCGAGACGCCAACACGCAGTTGTCCCGAGCGATGGAATGTCCGCTCGTGCTTCTCGTGTTCTAAGGTCTACCCGCTACCGCTTCTTTTCTCGTCGGGTTTTAAAACCATGTTTCGGGTCCTCGCCGCTGCAAATGCTGTGCGCTAAATACCAGACTCCCCGAGAAATGCTCTGCGCTACCAGATCCTCGCGCTCAAAATCTGCGGCCGGGCACTCTATGGCTCCGACATCGAACTGCCAGGCTTTGTGAGTATAGAGGAGGCTATGATATGTTAAAAATGGCAAAAAATAAGTTCTCAGATTGCCATATTTGGTGATAAATTACAGTGCTATAGAACAAATGACTGACTGCAAATTCTTAAGTGTATGCTTCAGTATGAAATTACCTTGGATAACACCAGCTGAGCGTATATATACAGGGTGAAACAAGGAGACGCCAGGCTCTTTAAGTCGACCGGAAAATTCAGTTTCTTGACCTATCGCGCTACGACTTTGTGCAGCGTTGCCCACAGATGGTGCTTTTTTTTTTTTTTTTTTTTTTGTAAAATTTGCAGAGATCGAACTTAGCTGAGGAAAAAATAACGAAAGAAAAAGGCTTAGCTCCTATGGAAACGCAGCGACGCCACCGGTCGGCAAACAACACGGCGCCGTTTCGCACGGGAGACAAGAGATGGCGCAACAAATACCGCCAACGAACGAGGATAAGGCTCCGAGAGCCGGCGTTTTTAGCAGACGATCTTTTCGACTCAAAAGCGGCGCGCGTTCCGCAGGCGGCGACACTCGCAGAAACAAACAGCAAGGAACTGTAGTTCCTTGTCTGCAAAAGGGCCGGCTCTCGGCGTCGTCTGCTCGTCCGTTGGCGGCAGTTGGCGTCGCGACCGCTTGCGCCATCTCTTGTCCCCCGTGCGAAACGGCGCCATGTTGTTCGCAGACCGGTAGCGTCGGTGGCTTTCCATAGGAGCTAAGCCTTTTTCTTTCTTTACTTTTTCCTCAAGTAAGTTCGCTCTTTGCAAATTTCACCAAAAAAAAGCACCATCTGTGGGCAACGCTGCACAAAGTCGTTGCGCGACAGGTTAAGAAACCGAATGTTCCGGTCGATTTAAAGAGCATGGCGTCTCCTTGTTTCACCCTGTATATATGAACCGCCTGTAGGAATTCTCAATACACACAGGAATACGGGCACATTCGTTTGCAAAAGTGTACAATGCGAGTTGTAGCAACCATAAACAACAGTATAAACGCCCAACCATTAGTTGAAAACTTAAACAGCTTACCGCGATCTAGGCTATACTGTAAACTTGTACAGATAATTTATACAAAATGGACAAATAGCTCGGATATAACTTTTTCGAGTTTAACGGAATAACTTGGATAACGAAAACATAAAAAAAGACTACCACCAAATTAAGGTAAGTGGGCTATAAGCTTTCCAGTTCATCAGCTATTAAACGACAAGGGCAACAATTAGCGTCTCAGTTACCAGCACAAGTGGTTTCAAAATATTACTCAAAAGTTAGCACAGATCGTGACCATTTTAATGTATCTTCTATGCGAAGTTATTGTTCTTGCTATTTTATATGCGATATAGGCACGGATGTTTTGACCATACCCAAAATAACATTTGTTTCTCAACTTTAATATGATAGTTGACACGCATAAGATGCATGGTGTTTTTATATGTATATATGATTTTTACAGATGTATATGTTTTTTTTTTTACTATTTTCACTACGTAGTTTATTTTTGGCATGTTTTTTCACCACTTTTAACTA